CATTCCCCAGCCCTCTCCTCATGCTCTTTTGGCTATCTGAGCTTCTGTAATTAAGTGAATTGGGGCTCATAATTCCTTTGTACTATTTGGTTAGCATGTCAATACTATTCTAATTATACAGCTCCACCTCCCTCTGATCCTTCTTCTACATTGGTACATATACTAAGAAAGCTTATGTGGTAGATTGGCATTATCAATCAATCAACCAATGAATAAATTTAAATACTAGTCATATTTAAACAAAAGACTCTTCAAAGTTGTAATAAAATATATAAATGGGCTTTTACATGTGTTGATTGTCCCCTAAATCAAAGAATATTTAACCTACTGATTACTAAAGTTTCTGAAGATAATTATACCCAAAATTCTAACATTTTAATTCACAGTTCATAAAGACAGCAAATGTCATTGCTATGTCTGCTTTACTAAAGTGAACAGACTTAGTGCCAAAACTTATCCATAACAAAAAAAAAAAAACTTTTATCAAAAAATAAATTGTGTTCATAACCCACTGATAATTTTAGTTTACAAACTTTGAGTATTATTTTTAAGAATTTCATTTAAAGGGGTGACTCAATTGGTCAAGCATCTGACTCTTGGTTTCAGCTGAGGTCATAACCTCATGGGTCATGAGATCAAGCCCTGCTTGGGCTCCACACAGAGCCAGGAGTCTGCTTGCAAATGATTCTTGCCCTCTGCCCCCCCACACCCGTCACTCTCATTTGCCCTTTCTCTCTCTCTCTAAAATAAATACATATCATTTATTATGATTATACATTATCATAAGTAAGGCACCAATAAATGTCTAAGGAAATCTTTAAGGAAAAATTTTCTAAATAAATAAATAAATCTTTAAAAAAAAATCATTTAGAGAAAACCAAAGTCTCATTAAATTTCCTCCCAGATACTCATTTGGAGAATTTTTTCCAGGCCTAATGGTATAATACCATAATTTCCTACCAGATTTCCTCTAAGATTTGAAGCATCATTTTAAAATAGAGATAGAAATACTCCTCCCAAAAAAATTACATAGGTTAATTGTAAGTTTTTATGCATGAATACATCTCTGGGGGAAAAGGGGAACAAAAATAGGAAAGAACATACATGAAGGAATGACTCATCGTTGGGCCTTTTCCCCCAAATATATTAATTTTATATAGCTCTGGTATACAATCATTTTTAAAAATTCATATTGCAAAAGATTTGGAATTTGGATGAGTTGAGACTTAGAGAAGTTGCCAGCAGTCTCCCAGTTTTTTTTTTAGTGACCACAGCTCCTGACAAAGCACCATTATTCATCCCCTAAGCAAGGATTTCTCAACCTGGGCAGTGTTATTTGGGACCTGATTATTCTTTGTTGTGGGAGTTTGCCCTGTTTCTTGCAAGATGTTTAGCAGCACCCCAGACCTTCCACACTAGATGCCAGCAGTGTCCTGCCTTACCAGTTATGACAACCAACAATATCTCCAGACATTTTAAATATCTCCATGGAGCCAATTCAAAATTGCCTCCCTACCTACCCCCATCACACTGAAAACCATTGCCCTAAATCAAAAGAGTAGGATTTTCCTTGCTATTTCCAACAACATGCATGGACCTTTAGGGCATTATGCTATGAAATAAGCCAGACAGAGAAAGATAAATATTACATAATATCACTATTTCACAGAATTTAGGGGGAAAAAAAAGTCAAACCCATAGAAACAGTAGAAAAGTGGGTGTCAGGGACTGAGAAGTAGGAGAAATAGGGAGAAGTAGGTAAAAGAGTACAAACTTTCACTGTAAGATGAATAAGCTCTGTGGATAGAATGTAAACTACAGTGAGTGAAGTTGGTCACACTGTATCGAATAGTTAAAATATGCTAAGAGAATAGAATTTAAATGTTGTCTCTCACACACACACACACAAAGCAGGGTTTTCAGTTATTTAGTATGCTATAACATTGTTATTACAATTTTTTCCTCCAAACATTATATTCATATTTTAGTTAACCTACAAACAGATGCACTACTTTTATTGGAGTTAATCAATTAAGACAGTAACAAGTTCAAAATTGTTTCCAGCAACTACATTTCACTTTTTATGGAAAAGCTGTAACAAAAATATCATGATATTTTTAACTATTTCCTTTAAAAACAAAAGATCACAAAATTAACCTATTTTTGTTATATTGAAAATGGCACTGGTTAGGCAATAAAAATAATTAAATCTAAAAGCATAAACAATTATAAAAGCACGGATGTTAAATTCCAACTGGTAATTAATTATGCAGTGTTTTTACTCGAGAATTTCACCAGTTTTGGGGGCGCCTGGGTGGCTCAGTGGGTTAAAGCCTCTGCCTTCCGCTCAGGACATGATCTCAGGATCCTGGGAAGGAGCCCCGCACTGGGCTCTCTGCTCAGTGGGGAGCCTGCTTCCCCCTCTCTCTCTTTGCTCTACCTCCCTGCCTACTTGTGATCTCTGTCAAATAAATAAATAAAATCTTTAAAAAAAATTTCATCAGTTTCTCAAAAAGAAATGAATATTAATCAAACATATTCCAAATTATGTTACTTATTTCGTTGTGGACATTTTGGTTAACACAATATATGATTTAGAGGAAAAACACATTATACAGCACCACAGGATAATAATTCACATCTCTCTCTCTCTCTTTCTCTCTCTCTCTCTATTTTTTTTTTCTCTTTTTGCTTTGGGGTCTTGGGATGTTATAAATATCATGACCTGTTGGGGAGATTTTTGTTTTCTCCCTGATAGTTTTAATGATAACTCTGAAAACTTGGGCAGTTGTCTTAGGCTTTTTTTATTTAACTTTATTTTTTCAGTGTTCCAAGATTCATTGTTTATGCATCACACCCAGTGCTTCATGCAATACTTGCCCTACTTAATACCCACTACTAGGCTCACCCAACTCCCCATTCCCCCTCCCCTCCAAAAGGAAAGACACAGCTGCAAGGAGATGCACCAGGAAAACAATGAAGAGGAAGCCCAAGCTCATGAGGTTTGTTCTCTGAGGCAACCAAAAGCCAAAGGAAAACTGAAAACTGTTTGCTGATAAAGCCATAGAATTTGTGGACAAAAATGAGGTAGGAAATTGGACAAGAGATGGGAAAAGCCAAGAAGTGAGTTATCCTAAGTAGTGCTTCTTAAATTTAAAGAGCTCAGCAATTCCCTGGGGACCACGTTAAGATGCAGATTCTGATTCAGAAAGTCTGGGGCAGGTCCTGAGAGTCTATATCAAAAAATCTCTGGGGGATTGATATTGCTGGTTAGTGCACATACCTACCACACCTTGAGTAGTAGAGAACATTTCTCTAGAACATTTCTCCCTACCCCCAACATATCTCTGGAAGCAGAAGTGCCAGTTTTGTTTCATCACAATATCTCTTAATATTAACATGGTTAAGTGAATTCACTTATACAGTATTCTCCCCAAAAGTCTTAATATATAGAAATATGTTTTCTTTATACCTTCTTCAAAGGAAATCATGAAACAGACTGTTGCTTTGAAATACATGTTAATTTCTTGTTGTTTTTTATAAGCATGTATAACTATCTGTTAGTAAAATGTCACTGTGATTTTTGCTTTTCATACATCCTTAGGCAGCAAGTTTCTATAGTGGATAACCTGATGGAGTAATGAAAAATGCAAATTTCTAAAATCAGAATTAAAATTAGACTTGACTTTAGGGTGATTAGTTTTAAATGAGTTTTCCAGCTCAATCTGGAGTTTTGATTCACTCTTTATGACTACCCAGGATGTGCTTTTATCCTAATAATTTGATTCCTTTTACACCTATGGGAAGACCAAATCCTGGCTTACTTCATATTTTCTCCTCCAAAACAACCAACCAAGTCCTGATTATGTGATAGGTTTTGGCATTGTGTCAATGTCAAGGTGTACCAGGAAGAGAAGCAGATTCAAAGATGACAGATAGATGAAGTATCTCTGATGTAAAACATCCGTTGGTGAAGACGTTGGCAGTACCGTAAAAATCAGTATGTTTAGGCACAAAAATCTAAAGACTGAATAGCAGCACTAAGTGGAAGTAATTATAACCTCTTTAAAAAGAGGATGAGTAGAAGGAAAAGAAATACACAAATTTGTTCCTACCACAGGTATTTCAAAATAACATTTTACATTTTCCACAAGCTATACTTGGAAGCAAGGTATGTTTAGGCACTTACTACACAATTTCGTAAGAACAAGAATTTTCCAAATGTGTATGATGATCCTCTCCCCCCAACCAAAAAAAAAAGAAGAAGAAAAGAAAAGAAAAAGAAAAAAAAAAAAAACTTTCTCACAGAATCTTATCAGAAATGGTTGGGTCACAAAAATACTATATATACTTTAGTAATCTATGTCTGGCTTGTTAATGTATTAAAGGTATATAAAGAGCTTAAATTTAAAGGTAGTCAATTTTTTTTTCTAAATGAAATTCCCCAGGCTTAAGCTGACCTTGATATGCTGCAGACATTTTAAGTGAAGAAATTAAAGCAATGTGAAGAAATTAAGAAATAAAGACCAATGAACAAAGATTTTAAGGTTTTACAGAATTGACAAATATATCCTACTTGGATGGTCTCCAAGGCTGCTTTTAATGCTATGACTCTGCAGGTCTCTAAATACATACTTTCTACATTACTTGAAATTTGAAATGTCTTCTCAATTCACCTCTTCTGATCACATCACAAAAAGAATGTTAGATGATCACACTCAGACCATCTACATGATGCCAGTAATAATTAAAAGGTTTAATTAGTGTCATCAAGCAACTGATGGCAATTGATTCAGAAGGAAAAAATAAGACTTCAAAAATTTTAATAGTTCCATTGGACACAAATATCTGGCTCTCTTAGTGCATGTATTGAATATACTGATAAATATATGTCACCGAAGTAGAGGAGTTCATGTTAGAGGACATACCAGTAATTCCCTCTGTTCTCTATGAGACAATGGACAGAATCATGTTTCCTTTCAATAGTTTACCAGACTCACCCCATGTGATGGGTAAGAGATCCATCCCAGCTCCCCTTGAATTGTTTTTGAATCCAGTAGATTGACTAAAAGAAAACACAGATACACAAATGCGGTTAAAATGAATAAGTTTCTAAATAAATAAATAAATAAATAAATAAATTTCTATTTGCCTCTCTCAAGTTAACGTTGTCTGTTGTTGTTTAAGGCCATGTTTAAAACACAGGACTCTTTATTTTTGTGATAGGAATATGAAAGAAAAAGAAGGAAATGGCAAAGGGAAAGTAATCACAGAAACAGTTAAGGAATTAAATTTCTCTGGCTTTTTTGACTGTGCTTATTTATAATGATAGATCAATATTCAAAATATTGATAACAATTTTTGACCAAGTAATTATAGGTTTAAGGAGGAAATGGTAAAAATGAAAAACAGGAAACATTAATGCTAACATGTTGTCAAAATAACTTAGAAGACCATTAAATTTAACAAATTTACATATGATTTCACTATGAATGAACTTCTTTAATATGCTTCCATAACGAACCAATATTTCTGTTTGTGTCTGTTAGGACATCTTTTTATTGTCTGTGTCCAATAGAAGAATTTTTAATACCACATAAATTGTCTTCTTATGTGTAATAAAAAAACATGCTTAACTAATAATTTCAGGAGAAATCAAAACAAAACTGTGCTTTATAAAACTCCCTGGAATAAGCTTTAGTTATTTAAAGAAAGCATTGTTACTCAAAGGCTTTAATGATTTTACTTAGAACTTTGCACTAGCTATTAAAAAGTCTGATGAATAATAAGACACAACATGAATGTGTTTTCATTTTGAATATATTATTAAAGAAAGACAAATCATTTCTTTTTAATTTTTAAAGGTTTTATTTATTTATTTATTTGTCAGAGAGAGAGAGAGAGAGCAAGTGCACAAGCAGGCAGAGTGGCAGGCAGAGGCAGAGAGAGAAGCAGGCTCCCTGCCAAGCAAGGAGCCCGATGCAGGACTCCATCCCAGGACCCTGGGATCATGACCTGAGCCAAAGGCAGAGGTTTAACTGACTGAGCCACCAGGCATCCCAAATCATTTCTTTTTAATGCAGAGGGTATTAATTGGTAATGAATTAGAGATTAAAATATAAAAAGATACTTCAAGTTGAATTAATAACGAAAGGCTCACTTTGTTGATCTATTAAACAATGTAAACTATGGTTTTACCTCATCCTTCATCTAAATCAGAAAGCAATCCCACAATTGACTAATGGAAGAGGTGGAGGAAGTTTACACAAAATAGCTATGTATTATTAACACAAACCAGAGCAGGTGAATCAATAAATACAATGAGAAATCATTTTCAGTTTCCATATATACATAAATCAAAATACAATGTTAATATATGTACTGTGTAAACAGGTCCTTGTGTTGTCAATAAAATATTTCCTGATACATAAAAAATACCACTCTTCAATCACCCTAAATAGGAAACATTAATCTTATAAAATGTTAAGTAAAAGAAAAAACATATTTTATAGGTGTGAGAATTCTAAATTTTCAAGAACTGCTTTTTAGGGGAGCCTGGGTGGCTCAGTGGGTTAAGCTTCTGCCTTCTGCTCAGGTAATGATCTCAGGGTCCTGGGATCGAGCCCCGCATCGGACTTTCTGCTCAGCAGGAAGCCTGCTTTCCCCTCCCCCTCTGCCTGCCTCTCTGCCTATTTGTGATCTCTCTCTCTCTCTCTCTGTCAAATAAATAAAATAAAATAAAATAAAATAAAACTAAAAAAAAAAGAACTCCTTTTTAAAAGAAGGTATTTGGTTATCTAGATGAGTTTCAAAAAATCCTCCTGACTATTAAGTTAGAAGACATATAATTCTCAAAGTTAGAATCTTTAAGATTTGCTAGTGAAAGTACATAAACTTAATTACACTGGAATTCTTTAATGATTAAAGATTTTTTTTCTCACAATGAATTAATCCCACTGAGAAGTAGTTATATTTAGATAAGAGAAGAAACCAGTTGCTGCATGGATTACATAGTGCAATTTCCATAATGGTATTATTTCCCAGGATATCAGTTTGGAAATGAATAGTATGCTTAATTGTATTGAAATTATCTGTCAAAAATGATTTTTAAAAACCCTCTACCAATTAATCAATGTTACAGATAATATTTCAGATTAATCAATGTTAGAGAACTTTTGAAAATATGAAAATTCACCTTCAGAGTAAAGCATTTTACCAACATTCATTCTAATAGATATGTTCGATTGATGAATCCTACTTTGACAGTTCTATCAGTCATCAGATGATTTCTCTGAGTTTTACATATGATTTGTGTAGAATTTACAATGCCAATATTCATCATTAGATCATATTTGCAATCCCTTTAGGAGTCTAAATGGTTCAATGTATTTGGGTGTGTGTGTAATAACTGAATATGTACTAAATGAATATGTGTCACTCAGCACGCTAAGATAAATGACTGATTTAATTTCAATATTAGTAACCAGAGGAGGAAAGTGTTTGAGGCAAAAGAAGACATGAATATTGTCTCCATTTAGTAAACGACTTATTGGAATGTAGGCTGTTAACTAAGAACTAAATACCCTGTAGTTTTCTTTGATGATAATGAGGGAGAAGGGACTGGACTAATCATCTCAGTATTTGGTGTCTACTCAAAAGAGAATAACTAAGCCAAAAAGAATTATATCACACTGTTGATTAAATAAGTATAATAAATTAATTGAATTTATTTCATTTACTTGGAAATGGAAATTTAGTGTACTCTATTTTACATGAATGAGGAAAACACAACAGCATCATTACCCATGATTCTGATTCTGTTGTCTATCAAACATAATTACATCTGTCCTGGTTATCTCACACTGTTGCATCATGTGATGATCAAATAATAGAAATGTATTTAAAGCCTCCATGAGTTTACAACATGCTATACAGATTCGGTGTTCTTGTAAAATTAATATCTGAACTCACAACCATAACATGTTGGTTTATGAATTGTATTTATAATCAACCATGTATATATAACCTAATAGAAAAGAAGAGTGACATCAAAACACTTTTTAAAAGCTTATGTTTTGAGTTCATATGGTGCCTTTTGTTTATAGCCAAATAAGAAAAGCAGAATCTAAGAATACTAGCCACTTTAAAGTGAATGATTGCTAACCTGGGACTTCCCAGGATATAACCTCAAGTCTCCTGTCATCTGTTGTGCAGCAGTCTGAGTATAGCATAATTGAAATAAGAAAAAGAGAAAGTTAATGGAATTTGAAAGTCAGCATGTTGCAAGTGAGTTCTCTGGATATATTGACTAAATCCAACATTGTAATATAACATATTGAACCCGACACTGAATCACGCAAGAACTTGGGTTTCTAATGCTTTCTCTCCTAAAATAGAGGTACACCCTGATCATAGCCTGTTGGTGGTACCAACATACAAATGTTGGGACACATGGAAGAAGCAGAATTGTGACATACAATTATATTCAGTTTTTTGAGTTTTAATGATGATTTGCAATGTGGAAGGTTTATTTCAACTGCTAAAAAAATTCTGAGTCCATGATTATAACTTTTAACCAAGAAGAGTTCGGAATATTCTTAAGGTCAGATGGAGGATGGCTTTAATCCTTTAATAACTGCCTTGCGCCAGATTACTTTTCAAAGATATAAATTGTTCCTTACCAGTGTTCATATTCTAATGGTATGATTTCTAAATATTTTTGTTTTGTAACAGGAAACATGTCATTTCATTAATATCAGATTTTCTCTTTAAAAAAATATTTTCAGTTTAAAGGGCTCTATGGCATATATTAACTTCTTAAAGTGATTTAAGCCGGACACATTTTAAAATGTCCTGACTCTGAGCAGAGCAATAAATAAGTGCTTTTTGGCAAAACTGTATTTGGAAATCACTGTCCAAAGTCTGGATGGATATAGTTCTGGGTTTCTTTAACGTGTTTTACCCTGCCTAAACTTTATTTCTTTTAAATAAAAGATGTATGAATGGGTAAAGGGATTCACATTCATGAAAACTGTAAGGGAATCCTTTTTCAAACTCACTGAGTTGGCTTTCAAGCGGGCACTAATGTGAATTTGCTGAGCAAAAGGAATTATAGTCTCTGATGGGGATTAGAAGGGGTAGAATGGAGAACAGGAATAAGAACAAAGTAAGAATAGATAAGTTGGCTCAAACTGGAGCAAGTACTTTTAGAAAGGAGGAAATCTTCCTGTCATTCCTGCCACCGATCTTTACTGTCACTTTTCCCACAAGCTGGATTGTGGGTTTAAGATGTCCACGAGTCTTGGGGCACCTAAGTGGCTCAGTCAGTTAAACTCCTGCCTTTAACTCAGGTCATGATCCAAGGGTCCTGGGATTGAAGGTCCACACTGCATCTTGATCCCTGCTCAGTGGGGAGCCTACTTCTCCCTCTTCCTCTGCCTGCTGCTCTGCCTACTTGTGCTCTCTCTCTCTCTCTCCCTCTCTGTCAAATAAATAAATAAAATCTTAAAAAAAAAAAAAAAAAAAAGATGTCCAGGAGTCTTGCCCTCTCTTCTTTCCTATCCTCCATCATAATGGAGAGACAACCAAATAAATGTCCACTCCTTGGTTCATTTGTACAAACAGTGTTATGAAGAATCGTCTATACCAAGAATTTATACCTGTTCCCTTCTTAATAATAATGCAATAATATTTTTAAAGGACTTGATTACTAAAATAAGTGTTTTCAACAAATATTGCCAGCTAGTGAGGACAGATTAAAAATTTAAGGTATACATTTCTGGAGTATTCACTTGGGGAATCATTAACATGCCAAGATTTTTTTGGAAGGCATTTCAAAGCTCTGATTCATGTGACTATGTATCCACTTAGAAAGACTGAGAACTAAACTAATATTCTGTCTTGCAAATTAAGTGCTGCAAATACGCAGATATTGCTAAAATAATTTTTAAAATTAAATGACACAATTTCTTACTGAAGTGGAAGATCTTTTCAATTATCTAATAACATGTCACTATGCTTTACAGTAATGCTATTTGTATTTTATGAAATGCTAGTTGCATTTTT